AAATGACAAATCATGAAGAAAAAAACATGTTTTCCGTTAGGAAACTGCTAATTTAATCTGCGTTGCTCTAAACGGCAGAAAAAAGTCTGTATAAAGTGCTGCCTGCTTTTAATTTTGGTGAGTTATTGAAGACATCAAAAGCACAGGGAACTTTACTTTAGACAGAACTGGACGTTCTCTGTCATCACCAGGTGTCAATGTGCCTGCTGTTACACGGTTTGCCTTTTCAGATTGTCTTAGTTGAATCAATAACTGACGGTGTGCCATCCACAACCCCCCCCACCGTTGTCTTCCCCCCCCCCCGCAGTGCCCTTGTTGTGTATGTTGAGCAGCCAGTGGTCACTGCTCAGACCCTGCAGCCAGCCTCAGCCTGCAGTCCACACGCTCACGTCAACGATAAACCACATGAACCAACCTCCCGCTGTGCTTTTGTCTTCCTTTTTCCACCCATTTCTATCCAAAACGATCCGAATCTCCAACGCCGACGGTCAGCGAAAGTTAGGAGTTCAGGCGTTTTTCTGATTTGGTTCGAGTTTGTCTCCATAATGTCCACTTTTCAACAGCAGAGGGCTCTTCCTCTCCCTTAAATCAGGACCACGATTTCCATCAGGCAGCTTCAGTCTATCAAAAAGCAGACTTATTTTAAATCGGGTCACTAATTCAGCTCACTCATCTCCCATCCGGATGTCCAGGATTGTTTTTTTTGCCCTTTGCACATGTTAGGGTTATTCCTTTATTTTCACAAACTGGCAAAGTGTTTGGAATGGACACAAATCCACGTAAAGTGTGTGCCGTAAAACGTGTGCCATCAACAATAAACCTGATTAAAAGTGAGGGCCCACGCTATGTTTGCCAACGCCACATGTCCCTGATGGAAAATGGAGGCTGCTTTAAGTAAAACGTGTTTGAGTTTACATATCCAGAAACAGGACCTTTACATTTCTGCCCTTAAAGATCTACTTTTCATTCAAAAGAACAGGGAAACGTCTCCACTGGGAACCGGAGGCTGAAGTGGATCGTAGAGGGGAACGGTGTGAGCACAGAACAATGCCCAAGGGTCCAAAACCCTCTGCGGCAGAATCTGGCAGGGGGCTGACCTCAAAGGAGGCTGCTGATTGGCTGCCGCCGGTGCTCCAATGCAGTAAAGTGACTCAGCAGGTCTGATGTTTT